ATCCTTATCTTTGGGGGGATGCTGTTCCAGAGGGTGGGGGCTGCAACAGAGAAGGCATGCTTCCTAGGTCCCACACGATGGCAATGTTTAATGGAGGGGACCTGGAGAGCACCCACTCTGCTGGAACGTATTGGGTTGGCAGAAACAGTTGGAGATACGTGGTCTCTTAGATATTCAGGCCCTATGCCATACAGGGCTTTATAGGTAATAACCAGCACCTTGAATTGCACTCAGAAGGCAACTGGCAGCCAATGCAGCGGTGACACATGGGCATATCAAGAGGAGCTCATTACTACTTGTGCTGCTGTGTTTCGAACCAGCTGTAGCTTCTGGGTGGTCTTCAAGGGCAGCCCTATGTAGAGTGCATTGCAATAATCCAATTGTGAGGTGACCAGGGGACAAGTGACTATCTGTTGGCATATGCTATACACTGCTAAGCCAACCAAAATATCTAGATTATGCACTCTTGAAATCAGATTACAGAACTTTCTGGGAAGAAAAATATAATAATAATGAGATGCTTCAACTACCTAGGTATCTGTTAGAAAGCCAATTCAGCCAAGGCTGCAAAGTCCCCAGAATTCCTCAGTGTCTTGTTTCCATTTCCCAACAATGTTGGGAAGAAGTGACTATGTCAACTTTGGTACAAATAGTACCCTAGAGAAATTAAGGGTACTTGCACACTAGATTTCAAGAGAGCCAATTTTAACAAGCTTAGAGGAGTACCAAGCAGGAAACCATGGACAGAAATCCTCATGACAAAGAGACTGCAGCTGGGTTGGGAACTTCTAAAAATTAAGATTCTAGAAGTATAATCACATACCATTCCAATAGAAAAAAAATTGTCAGTTTAGGAAACTTGTGGATGCACAGATAGTTTTCAAATGAGGTAAGAGTTAAAATGGACATCTATAAGAAATGGAAGATGGTGAAGTCACCAAGAAAATGTACTAGCAGAAAGAAAATTGGAAAGACTAAAGCAACAAAAAGGGCTATTTCGCCTCTGTTAGTGGCAAAAGGAAGAGAAAGGAAGGGGTGGGCCCTGTTCCTTGGCAAAGATGGTAGGATAATAACAAATGATAGGCAGAGGGCAAAGCTCCTCAACTCCTATTTTGCTTCAGTCTTCTCCCAGCCAAGAATTGTAATCAAATGGATGTAAGCAGAAAACTGACAGAAGAAAAGAGCAGCAACCCAAGGTAGGTAAAGAGATGGTTAGGGAGCACCTGGTTATCAAGAATGAGTTCATGTTTCCAAGACACAAACAATTACATTTGAGAATCTTGAAGGACAAAGTCTCCCATGTGATCCTAATAGGGAAGGCGGCAAAATGTGGGTTGGACTATGCTACCATTGTGTAAATACAGAGGTGGTTGAAGAATCAAAGGCAATACGGCTATAGTTTTGCTTCAGCCTGGAGGAAGATGTCATGGGGCCTACCACAGGGCTCCATTCTAGACTCTGCACCATTCAATGTATTTGGATAGAAAATAGGATCATCAGATCTACAGATGATACAAAAAGGGAAGAAAGAGTGGAGTAGCAAATTCTTTGGATAACAGTAGCAAGACTCAGGAGGAGCCTGACAAGGTTGAGCAATGAACAGAAATTAGCAAGATGATTTTCAGTAGAAACAACTACAATGTCCTAAATTTGGGTAGGAAAAATCAAAGCCACAAATATAGGATGGTAGAGTTAGGATGGACTTGCACTGGGCAGCAGTACATTGAGATGGATGTTGAACATGAACCATAGCTGACATAGTGTGAGGAAGAGGAGGAGGGAAAGAGGAAGAGGAAGAAGACACATGCAGTCCTAGACTGTGATAATCAGGCTTTTGCTGAACTTGATATGAAGGAGCTAACTGGATGTGTCCCACAACATCCACAGCTTTGTTACAATAGCAATTTCAGAATGTTCTTGTATTGAGCATATAAGGTGGGCACAGTGAAGCTTTCAGTTAGGCAAGGGCTTATCCTAACCTATTTTTGTTTAAATAAATTCTGCTGGCTTAGATGAATGTAGATTATATAGTTGTATCTTTGTAGTGCAAGCGTTAACCAACAAAACTCAAATTACAAGGAAAACCAGCTCCCAAACGAGTACCAGGGCAAACACTTTTGATGGGGCTATCATTGCTGGTTCACAAGTCATTGTTTTACATGTCACGGAGCTACCATTGCTTTAATATATAAATGTCCTCCTGGTTTCTCCTAAAGAGTTGTGGTATCTATCATTCTCTAAAAACATATACACAGTGTGGAAATAAAGTTTACCGCAACCCGAATGTCAGGTAGGCCTAGCTAAACATTATTTTTCCATAGTAGCAAGTTTCTCATCTGAAACCTGATTGTTCCATTCTTTTTTATCACACAGAATCTAAAGCTATGATTGCTATCACCATGGAAATACAAGAAAACAAGATTTACAAGAATGTGAAACCCTGTAACTAGACCTAGCTTATTGTTTAAAAAGTAAAGGTTATAATGTACCTGATCACAAAACATTTCCTGCTAACTTCTTTTGTTTATAGTTACCTGACATTATAGTGCAGTTACAACATTCCTGAGTTTGCATCAATCCAGCATCCTTACAGCAAGGTACACATCGATATTCATCAACGTATAGTTCCATGTTAAGATGACATGAAGTACAGTTGAAGGGACCAGGCCCCTTGCACTGCATACAAGAATCGTGGCATTTCTCACATTTTGATGGCTTTACCTTGCATTCAACAAGGAACAGAAAGAAAGATGGGCTTTGGTTAATGTTTCCAGGGGAAACTGACAATGCTATCCCTAAATTAGCATATTGCATAAAGTTATCATAAGGTTTATTTGATTTTGTCTTAACGTGTTGCATATATCCGGTCATTGTGACTTGTAAATTGTAATTTATGGCTTAATTTTATGTATGAATCAATTATGGCTTAGTTTAAAAAACCAGTTTAATAAACTTTGTCATAGTACAAGGTTAAAACCCAGCCTAGTTAGCCCCCAAAATAGTATGCAACCCTGGACATCTTTGTGTGCATAGAGTCCATCCTATTTAAAAAAACAGCCTTTTAGTAGGAAAAAAGGAGGAGAAACAATAATAGTCATCTCCATCACCAGCTATCATATCATGACCTATTTATTAAACTCTGTGCAACTCTGACTCTTAGATTCTAATTCCATGCTTAATATCAGGGGCATTCACAGGGTTGAGTGTTTGTGTGTGTCAAAAAGTTACCTGCTTTCCTGTGATATTTTCTGTACTTAAAAAGGGTCTTACAATATTAACTAACAGTTGTAATTTCTCTCAAAGTGACATATGAAAACATATTTAAGACCTAAACTGCTCTGCTCCTCTAGTAATAAAGACCCCACCTCCTAAAAATAGGAACACAATGCCATTTTGTTGAATGATGCACAATTTTTCCAGAAACGTATGGCTGTTCTGGAATAGTATAATTAGTTTTGTCAGAAGGGGCTAAAAAGATGCTGCCTGTTCACACTACTGCAGAAATATGCAAATATCATTCTGCCCTCTTATTAACTTTGTACTAAAGATAAAGACACATAAGACAGCAGAAAAACTAAATGATCTGCATACTTAGAAGCTGACTATTGTACCTCTGCTCTTAAATCTAACTGCAGTTTCTCAGTCATTTTATATACTAGCAAGCAGAAATATGAATGTTGAAAATAATTCATAGAAAGGGGAGTACTCTTTATAATGTTTCAAAACTAATGATAAAATTCATTTTATCATATCATTGCATTAAATCAATAAAGTTTTTTTTTTTTTTTAATTCTGTGCAGCAAGTACCTCTGAGACTTGGTATTCTCCTAGTAAGCATACTGAGTTGCAGATTCCAGCGAAGAAATGATAACTTGTCACGCAGGTTGTGCATTTGAATTCTCCCTTCCCTTAAAAGGAATAACATCATTTGAAAATACAATTTGTAGGAAATTGTCCAATTCATACAGCAATTGCTTTAGTCCAGTAGCTCTTGACCTTTGCAGGTAGGGAATCCCTCTGGTTCAAACATGCATTTGAGATCCTGGACTATGTAACATTTCTGGGAGTTGCAGTCCCAATATGGCTGGAAGACATTGGTTTGGAGAAGCAGTGACTCTCATTTGTGGGCTGAAAACTAATAGTTCAACCTCTCCAATGAAGTAAATGGCACTGATTGTGGTTTCAGTTCTGAACATGCTGGAAGTGATGATGGTAGTGTCTAGGATTATGATGCAATGGTTTGAACTGTGATGCTAAAGACTAAAAGGGGTTTAAGGAACTTCAGAATGCTAAAGATGTGAAGGAATTTAAGATATGCATAAATAATTATACATATGATTGACTAATTGGGACTACTCACTGACTAAATGGTGTGCAATTCCTGTTTCACCTTTGGGATATCTACATGGCAATAAATACAAGCAATTTAAAGAGAAATATAAAAAGTTAGTATTGGATTCTAATTCAATATTCCACTCAGAGATTTCTTACATACTGTATATATAAAGTAATCAATACTTTTAAGAATTAAAACAAAATGTGACTTCAGTCTGTTCATATGATCTGAACTTGAACTTACCTTTGCAAGTATGGCAAGTTGGATGGCACCGTTTGCAAGCATGAGTGTCAAGATCTGCATAGTAATATTCAGGGCAGGAGAAGAGACATTCATTGGAGGAGCGCAGCAGGAAGAAATTTTCCGCACAGGATAAACATTCTGTAGGTGCAGGTCCCAAACATTTCTGGCAGCTTTTGTGACATCTCTCACAAGTTCTGGTGACACTGTTGGCATAATACCTGTACCAATAAAATAGTAAAGTCAAGCTGAGTTGAGCTGAGTCGAGTAGAACAATTACGTGGTAAACAAAGGGATAATTTATCTCAGATCATGTTGTATTTTATAAATCTGTATTGTTAAGTGACAGTGTGGTTTGAGAAGATGCAGCTCTCCCCATTCCATGTACAGAAGGCAACCAGGCTGTTGAATCCATCCTAGCACAGGTGTCCTCCAAACTTAAGGAGGGTTGTTTGAATCCAGCTTGCCTGAGCCCTGTTCTCTGCTCTGCATTCTAACCACCCTTGTGGTAGCTGTCTGTCAAAGTCTTAATCTCTTCCCTGCTTGTATCTCTTCCTTTCTCCTCCCTGCTGCTGCCCCCACTTTGTCCATCCCCCTTTTTCCTTTCGGGCTCTTACCCAGCTGTACAGTTCTGGACACACAGGTTTTCTTCCTTGTACCAGTTTGGAGGGCAGAGAAGGCACTGGGTGCTGTGTTTTCCATGGCATGTTTTACAGGTCCTGTGACAAGGGTAGCACTGGGAATCAGTATCTTCATAATATCCATCAGGACAGGTACTGACACAGGTTGTATCTATAGCAAAATAGCAAAAGACAAGCTAATGCTTGGGATGACAAAGATTAATACAGTCTGTAGTTGGGACATGAGGAAAAGTTCATAGTCCATTTTAAATTCTTTGGACCAACCAAGCAACTTTTCTTAATTTGATCAGTGACTGAGTTGCCACATGCTATTATCTGAGTGTGAGTAACAGGCTTACTTAAAGGAGCAATACTTCAGTCCTCTTAGGGCACTCTACTCCCAGGGCCTCCTCAAGTAGGATGAAATCCAGTGTTGTGCAAGTGAACTTTCACTCATGCAACAGAATTCCTTTCTCTCTAGAGTGGATATTGAGAATGTAGGAGGAGCTGCAGAGAGAAGGGTACTGGCTCCTCATTCTGTGGCTGGGTTCAGAATGGTGCTTTGTGAATTTGCCAAGGTTGAGAAACACTGATCTACAGAGATGAAGGAGACAAGGCAAGAGCCCAAATACTTACTGAGGAGATGCCAGCTACTTGGGCAGCTAAGACACTGAGCATTGCCTGGCCCTTTGCAATGGAAACAGGCCTTGTGACAAGGCCTACATTTCCTGCTTGCGCTGTCATAGTACCAATTGGGCAAGCAGTCCTGAGGGATGACACAGACACCAGTGAGGGTCATCAGCAGACCTTCTTCACAGGAAAAGCAGCTGGTGGCAGATGAACAAGTTTTGCAGGTCTCGTGGCAGTCTAGAAGGTAACAAAGCAAAAAGATGTCACCATTTGGTTTTTGAGTTTTTTGTACTCCTCAGTGGAGAACTGCAAGTTCATGTCTGTGGAAAACAACATACTGTACGTGAAATGAATATGCTGCACAAATTAGATTCATGTTATGTGATGCTCCAGTTAGTACTGTTATCATCAGGTGATTATGAAACATCTTTGTTAATAAGCTCTAGTGCCTTCGTCTGTATTTAGCTTTATCAAAAACACTTTTGAAAATAGAAGGTTTCCATAACTCATAATATGGAAGGTAACCTAACCAAACCTACACTCAGAAGTTTACATCCTTTTCACAGACTAGCAGCAACATTTTGAAAATCATCTGCACAAACATGAATCACACTTATTATCTCTCTTTATGCCTTTCCATACCTTTATTCAGAAGGTATTTGGTATGGTAACACCTTCCTTTTCGGAAAAGTCTGATTAATCTGATGACCACTGAATATTGTCCCTCTGCTGGTCATGAAATCATGTTAACAAGAACTTACTTATCTGAAGCATAGTTATTTCTTTCTGAATTACAATAGGAAGTATGCAGTACCAATCACACATACTGTATATTCTGAAAAATACTTTTGGAAACTGAAAAGGTATTTTATTTTTCAGATTTAGGGATGCAATAACACATTTATATTAATAATATTTTTGGTGCAACTTAGAATTCCAATTTGTAGCATGCAATAAGCATCTAATAAAATATAAAATGGCAGATAAAGGCAGCATAAAGTAGTATTGATCCACCTGAAGCCTGGGGAAAGCAAATATCCACATCAGCATGCAGCAAGCCTTCTGGGAAGAGCCCCCAGAATCACCTGCTATCAAAAATGTAAAAGTCCCACATTGGTACCAAAGATAAAGCAAGACATCTTGGACAGCCCACTTTATTTCTGCAAACCTGATTTAGGATTAAATGAATGTACCAGCCAGCCACACCCAATCACAGCATGGATCTATGACCAGAGCAAAAGGCAAGGCAAGATCTATATATCAGGTAAACACTTGAAAAACACTGCACACGCACAAAAAAACCTCATTACCAGGGGAAAAGAAGGACTAAAGAAAGTAAAGATCTGCATTAAATGTGTATGTCCTGATGTATATGTGCAGATGCAAAGACAGAAATACTCTGATTTAAATAGAAATGCATCTTCCCCTTGAAGGGGGGGTAAGGATTGTGGCCAGGAGAGCTTGGACCTGCTCAGCAATAACCTCAAAACTCCTCTCCCTTCTTTCAATTCTTTATTGTTAAATTGGGCAGCTCTTTGAATAAAGGATATCTTCAGATAGAGAACTGCCCTATAAAAGGTAGGTCATTGGCTACTCCAACAACTTACATTGTGGGAGTTCTTTGGGTTCAAAGGAGCCTTTTACTGTTTACTGCAGCTTTCTGCTAAACTGGCATCCTCTGGCTGTGTTTAGATCTCAACTCCTGGAATTTCCAGCCTTTGGCTGAGTGGGCCGGGATTTCCAGAAGATTCAGTTCCAATACATCTGGAGACTCTCTCAGTGGCTTTCAATATCACTGAACATGGTACCCTTCTAAACCCTCTGTGGGACTGGCTGGGTCAGAATCTTGTACCTTTACTTCTGGATGGGTTACGCTTTCGCACATGGGGCTGATGGACAACTTGGAGGGGCTTTCTTACATGTATTCTCAGCACCTAAGAATGAGCAGGTGGCAGCTATGGCAGGAAGGTCTTTGCAAAGATCTATCTGGTGCATCAGTTATGCTCTTTCCTGGACAGAGGGGCCCTCCTCATATCACTCATGCCTTGGTCATCTTGCATGTAGCATATTGCAACACACTCTACATGCTTTTGAAGACCAAGTGGAATTTACAGCTGGTCCAGAATGCCAGCATCCCCCCAGGCATTCAAACAGCTCTTTCCCTGTTCTTTTTCAAGCAAACCATAAAGACCTGTCTCTCCCTCCAGGGTAAGGCTAGAGAAGGTGCAGGGCTTCTTTGGGATGGTTGTGGGTTGTTCCCTCCATTAAGTGTTTCTTGATTGTTTTTATACTTGGTTTTTATTGTTCACACTCAGTCATCTGGAGCTGGTGGCTTTGTAAGTATGATTTAAATAAGCAGACAAATAAATGAGCTGAAGAAGATTGTCTCCTGTATAGCACATTATTGTGTCGTGGTAGAGAATTTCTGGTCTAAATCTTAGAGCTGTGGGAAGATTTTGATTTGAATGTCATTTGACTGAAATGTCTGAATCATATGGACTTTCTGAACTGGATTACCAGTCAAACTGAAAAAGGAATACCTTTGCAGGCTGCAGCTTCTTCTTCATAGTAAGTGCCATCTGGGCAGTCTTCAATACACCTGCCTTTGTATAATGCATAGGAAGTATCAGGACAGGCAATGCAGTCATCAGCCTCTGGCCCTTCACATTCTCTGCAGAGCTCATGGCAAGTGAAACAGTGGGTGGAGAAAGGGTAAAAACCAGAAGGACAATTCTGCAAACACATCCCATTGTGCAGATGGAAGGGAGGAATACACACTTTCAAGAAAAAAAAATAGACTCTATCAGGATATGCAAAAGAACACAATGCCTTGTCTTTTATATGAGAGGTAAAAACACCCTCCCCCCCCACCCCCTTTGACATATTTGGGTCTTACTGGGGTGTAGATGGGTTTTGACGCTGCATCTCATTTTGTGGAAAAACTCTACTTTAAAAATAGATTGAAGTTGTCCTATTGGAAAGTATGGGCTGACTCTGGAATAGTTACTTTAAATCAATTACTTTGCAACAATGATTTTTAAGGATTTTCAACCACTACAGAGAGAATTGTCCTTGCCTGGCATGTGTCAGTGGCATTATAATCAACTTAAGCATCTTTTGCTTTCTCAGTATGGGCCAGATGCCTTAGCTGCTCCTATGGAGTGTAGGCTACTATTGGTGTTTATGGAGTCTGTTTATGAAATCAAACAAACGTCAAAATGAAAAATACTGTATTTTTAAAGTTGAAATTGCTTATATTTATTACTTATGGAATAAAGCATTAGAATAACTGAGAATGGAACATTAGTGGATGTTAGTCTTAAAAAATGTTAAGGCTGCTGCTTTGAAGTTGAAATTAATTCATTAAGAGATTTTATTCTGAGTTTATTGGATTCCTCAAAGAATGTATTGGAAAGGACAGACTCTAGATTTTTGCTGTTACAGATATAAGAAATGTGAGAGTACATCAGCTCATATGATTTGGTCATATCTGGTTTTGGGTTTCTTTTGGAAAAATATTACAATGTGCATAACTATTTATTTGTTTATATGATTTATATGGCCACCCATCTCACAACAGCGGCTCTGGGTGGTGTTACAAAGTTTAAACAACACTGAACCATCTAAAAAAATCATGATGTCTGAATTTTTCCAATAAAAAAATAATACATTTCCCTTTGGCATAGATTTCATAATTTTTACAAGCATAATTTTTAATGTAAAATTTGATATATTATTGTTAAACAATTAAATGAATATGTGATATAATTAGGTGATTTATATCAACATAATTGTTAGTTTTTTATTGCTTTTTTCTATTTGCTTGTTTTAGTTAATTATTTTTATTTTCTTTTTGTTTGTTTTGGTATTATCACTTTGTAACTAATTAATTTGTTGGATGTGTATATATTACTGTTCTTATTTTAATTTGCTTCTGTATGTTGTTTTCTTTTTTAAAGTACAATAAAATTATAGGGAAAAAAAGCAGCAGCTACACCTATGCAGATGTGCACAAACATAGCATCTCTCCCTTCTTTGGCTTCAGCTGGCTGGCAATGGCTTTCTGACTGGGATTTATATCAAGAAGTTTTAATCATTAACTTCTGGATTTTGAATGAATGGGGCTCATTGCTTTACTTCAAACTGAAACTTATAAAAAAGTCAGTGGGAAGTTATTATATTTTCTATGCTTTAAAGATAAACAGGCCAACACAAACTTTGAAGGATAGAGTTGAGTGTATTGTCGAAGGCTTTCACGGCCGGCATACGATGGCTGGTGTGGGTCTTCCGGGCTGTGTGGCCGTGGTCTTGAAGTTTTGTTTCCTAACGTTTCGCCAGCATCTGTGACCGGTCACAGATGCTGGCGAAACGTTAGGAAACAAAACTTCAAGACCACGGCCACACAGCCCGGAAGACCCACACCAGCCATCGATAGAGTTGAACTCAGCTCAATCTGAGGAAGTTTATACATTTTGAATGAGTAGAAAGACAGAAACTCTGCATGGCTCACTTGATTCTTGGCATACCTTTGCATTTGCTTTGATGAATGCATTCCTGACACATCTTAGGACAAGCTTCACAGGCTCTATCAGTAGCAAAGTGCCCCTCGGAGCACTCAGGTTTGCATCTGAAGCCCTCTAGGAGCAAGGGCCTTTCACAGGAGAGGCACATGGTGGCATTTTTTCCACAGGTTTTGCAAGGTGGATTGCATTCCTTGCACTTTCCATCTTTAGCAAAAAAGCCACTGCAGCAAGAGAGAAAAAAACCTATCACATATATATTCTAATTCTTAGCAAAACAAAACTACTGAAGGGATGAGTTTAAAAGTATTTACTATAGATATGCACTTGTTCATTAGTTATCTTTGATTCTGAAGTGGTAAGATTCCTATGGCATTACTGTACCAAAATCCAGTTTCCTGATAGTTTTCTTTCTAAAGTAAAAAAAAAAGGGGGGGGGAGGAGGTCTGTTTTATTTCCTCATTCTGAGGAATACCATTTGCTGGAGTTTATGAGCTAGCTATATTGTTGCAATGAGGTGAAAGATGCTGCTGCTGTTTTTTTCTGGGACACATTTCTCCAACACTCTGAAGTCTCCCTGTCTGCCCACACTTTCTGACCTGAAAAAAACAGAAGACCTTTAGGAAGAGTTTCCTCAAGGTCTGTTTCTGGAGGATTTATCTGAAAGTGGAAAGCCTGGGAGGTTGCAGACCACAGGACTCACACAATCACTTCTTTGCCAAGGATTCTGCATCTCATTCAAGATAATTACACCAACAATTTCTCCCTTGAAAGAAAAATGGCAAAGCAATTTCATTCCCACCACCCTGAAGGAGAATGAACTAACAAAAATGTAGAGGAGATGTTCAACTCATCTCATCATTCTTAAACTATGAAAGCTCCCTAAGTTACTCTGGTCCTTCAAAAGAACCCTGAAATCTTCTATTGCATTTCTCACTTTCTTTTGTAATGATTATACTTCTTACAGACATAAGAATAATATTAATTCAATTGTTTTTTTCAAGCTTCTGATATGCTGAATAAAACAAGGTAAGCAATAGAGAGAATTTGCTCAGAAGATTTAACATACGTATGATCAGAAATGATCAAAGCAGCAACTTGCACCTCAGTGTTTTTGATCTAGGAAAATATGCTCTTAATGGAAATGATGCTATGACTGTAATATGGACTACTTGGCCAATAGTGCAGCTGGGTATTCTTAGATCCTACAGGCTTTAGATAATCATGTATTTCCTAGGAACAATCAGCCTTTTGTAGCTGCCAAACAGTCCTGGGAAAGAGACAGCTGCTTTAAAGCAGGTGCAGACAAGTCCCCCCCCCCCCCCCCC